TCACTGCTTAATAAACTCATGGTTCCTTACTGCCTCTAGGATGAAATACAGACTCTTTTATTTGGCATTTAAAACACTTGTTCTAATCTACCTTTCTAGCCTTATTTTATATTAGTGCCTTTCAGGTACTCAGCAATTTAAGTAAATAAGACTTTGCACTGGCTGCCCCCCTGCCAGGAAGGGGCTCTTTCCGTAGTCTCACTTTTTTACAATTCTTGATTTCCTTAAAAACTTCACCTGAAGGGTCATATTCTACATGAAGCCCCCCCTTCCCCATCGTCACAAACTGGTGGTACATTCCTCACGATAATTACCGTGGATTTATTTTGTTTATATTTTAGATGTACGTGTTCTCTTCTTCTTAAAATGTGAACTCTTTGAAGGCAAGGATTGTTTCCTTTTCTGTGTTTTTATCTTCTGTTCTTGGTGCGGTGTCTGGCACATAGTAGGTCCTTAGTAAAGGCTTGTTTGATTTTTGTGAAATGGCATTGCTCATAGTCTTGACCTTTTTAGTAATATTTGTAGAATTAGTGTGGTCCTTGGGTTCCATGTCCTTCAACAAGAAAATCAAGTGTTCTGCTGGCTAAGGCAGTTTTCTAGGTGCTTTTGATGACTCCTGTGGTGTTCTGATTGTTGTATATCAGCTAAACTTTTGTGAGAACTAATGAAAATTAAAATATAGCTTCAGTTTTATTCATTACCTGTTTTTCAGAATCAATAGCTTAGTTAAGTTAGGTTTAATTAATTTTTATCCTTTTGTTTTAGTGATTTAATTTTTACTGGCTCTAACCACCCACCCTTAAAGATTCTGAAATGATCTCAAAATCAGTATGCCATCTTTAACCGTTAAAATATAATCTAACTCTTCTTTTTTTGGGGGGGGGGTTAGTGAGGCAATCGGGGTTAAGTGACTTGCCCACCACCACCAGGTGGTGAAGTAGATAGAGCACCAGCCCTGAAGTCAGGAGGACCTGAGTTCAAATGCGGCCTCAGACCAAACACTTGACATGTACTAGCTGTGTGACCCTGGGCAAGTCACTTAACCCCGATTGCCTTAAAAAAAATCATTTATACTGTGTGGTTATAAAACTTCAGTAGCTTTTGGTTTCTTTTGTTTCTTAAGTCTGAGCTTTATTTTCTATCACATATTCTACTTCGCTCACTTTAATTTTTAGTTCATCAGCTGTTAAGTCATATTTTGTTGACTTGCTTAGAGGATCTGGTCAAATTCTTCATATTTTTTTTTCCATTTTTATCCTCTGCAACAGATGTCAGTACTTAAGCTGCACTTATCTTCATTATTTTCTCTTGTCTGTGCTTAACATGAGCATTGCAAGTTAAGAAGTGATCCTTTTGGTAGCCTGAATTATAAGATTGAGAATTGTAGATGATTTGCTTGGGTTAAGGAGTTTCCTCACTAGGAAATTCCTACACCAAAGAAATAAATCCGAGGTCAAGACTAGAAAAAAAGAAGGCAGTGATTTAGGAAATTTGGGAGGAGAGAAGAAATGAAGGAAGTAAGAATGAAGAGGCAAGTTCTTTCTTGGCATTAACTAATACCCCTTATTCACCTTAGTATGGTCTAATTAGGATATTGCTTGTAAAGAAACTTCATAGATATGTTTCAAAACTTTAGACAAAAGTAGAATTTTGCCTCTTGGTGCTTGATATGCTAGATGTCTTTTAAAATTATTACATTGTATTCTCTCATTCCTACTTCAGTTAGAATTACTGATAACTGTCAACTTTGGTATTTTTTTCTGTTGGTCTGATGCACCTGTGTTGATCACTAGTAGGTACCTTGTTTTCAAACTATTTACTAATAGCATTTTGCTTGGTATTATGATTAAAGTGACCAATCTGCGTTTTCTCATGTGTTGATGGTTATATTTCTGATAGATAATGCCTCTTTTACACAACCAAATTTCTTATTTAATTATGGTCAACTCCCACTTGGACTATAACTTCTCTTCACTTTAGATCATTTAAAACACCCAAATCAGGTCAGAGGCCTGAAAAAAATTTAGTTATATTTTTCTTTTAAAATTCCCTCCTGTGTTCTCACAGGAACATTAGAATGTTATATGCCTATATACTGTAAACTGGTAGTTTTCAAATTTTATTTCCTAATGTTGTAAGATTTGAATCTGTAAGGGAATCATAAGTCTGAGTATTTATATGAGGCCATGTATTATATGAGGCTTGCCCTATTGCCCTGTCATCATAATTTTAAAATAGCATCATAATAAATTTTAACCAGTCCTCTTCGTTTTTACTCATTTTTATAACATTGTTCCTATGAAACTAATTTTTTTTCATGGTATTTGATCCAGTATCCTATTTTGATGGAGCAAAATTTCATTGTTAGGCAGCTATACTCTGCAACCTGGTAGTTTTAAAGTTTTATCTCATAGAATTATGATTTCAAAGTTGGGAAAAGAACATTCAGAAAACTAATTCAACCCACTTCTTTTATAGATTAGAAAACAGACTGAGAAAGAAAATTATGACTCATCCAAGGCCACATAAGTTACAAGACTACATAAGTAGCAGAGATCGTTCATATTCATTCCCAGGTCCTCTCATTTCTAATCTCATTCCCCCCCCCCCACTATATCAAGATCTAGAGCCTATTCCTACTTAAGTAATTAGGATAATTTATTCAGAATGAATTTTGTGTGGCTGGAATTTTCTTGGAAGAGATAAACTTCAAGGGTGAAGAATCATTCAGCAAAGCCGTATTGTACGTCTGGTGGATGTACAACTTTTGAATCAAAAGGTGAAAATTTTTATAAAAAATTACAACTAGGAAATACTTGTACTGCTTCATATTGATCACAGAGATGGATTTAGGTATGTTTTTAAGGCTTTTCAGTGAAATTAAATGTAGCCTGGGTTAAATAAAATTAGTCTAAGAACATCTTTTAAAAACAAACAAAAAGTATTCAGAACCTCAGGACTTCCCAGGTAGTGAGGAAGTTTCAAAAAAAGAGAGGAACAACAGCTTTTGTTTTAACTAGCATGTAGTTTTATTCAAGTATGCACAAAAATTTAAATCACTCTAAACTTAGAATGAACACTTAGTGATATTTTAATCATTTGCGTTTTATGAACCATCACTTTTGTTGCAGAATATGAATTACACAATTGGAGTGTGCATACATAATCTGCTTGATAATTGGTTGAGTGACCATGGAGGAATACCAAAGTTTGGTATTATTGGTATTTGGTGCTTATAAAATTTAAAGTATTGTGCTACTGAGCATAGAAAGGCAAAAAGAATAGTTTCTGCACTTAAGGAGTTTACTTTCTGTCTACTGGGAGGGAAATTAAATAGATATAAAATTTCTCATATAATGGAATAGATATCAAATTTGGAACCCTGACTTTGTGTTGACTATAGGCAAGTCTTTTTTTTTTTTTATCGCAAGAGCTTTGTCATCGACAAAATGAAGGGGCTGGGCTGAGTGATCTATTAAGGTTCCTTCCAACATTTAAGTCCTTTAACATACTCCATTCCCAGTTTGCACTACAACATCTTATTAGAATCATATTACCATTTGAGATATGACAAATTAAAAAGAGGGATCTAGAAAATTACAAAGGAATAAATGCAAATGAACTTTGTAAAAAGATATAATAATTTTAGTATAATTGGTTTCCTTTGTAATCCAATATATTTTATTTTATGACTTTAAAAACATTATACTGGAAGGGACTCATAAATTCAATGGCATATATAATGTCAAAGGTCCGTGACATAAAAAAAGTTTAACAGCTAATTTAAAGGATTACACTTTTTTGATCCCAGGGATTCCTTCCTGTTCAGTATGCTCTATGGCACCATGTGCCAAATGTTGGAAATACGAAGACAAAAATGAAACAGTTCTTAACCCCAAAGAGCTTACATTTTATTAGGGAGGTTTTACACATTAGAAGGGGAAGGAACTAGTAACTGGAAAGGTGGGGTGGGGTATCAGGAAAAGATGTCATGTAGAAAGTGACATTTGAGCTGAGCTTTGAAGGAAAGGGATTCTAAGAGGTAGAGGTGAGGAGAGGGTTGCACTCCAGGTGTGAAGAACTACCAGCCACACATACATATATGGAGAGAGAGTGTCAGTCACATTGAATTTTGGTTTCTTTAATTTGGATCTTTTGGGGGGGGGGTGAGGCAATGAGGGTTAAGTGACTTGCCTAGGGTCACACAGCTAGTAAGTGTCAATTATCTGAGGCCAGATTTGAACTCAGGTCCTCCTTACTCCAAGGCCGGAGCTGTATCCACTGTGCCACCTACCTGCCCCCTAATATGGATCTTTCATCATGACCCAATTTATTATGTGACAAGAAAGATTATTCCTTTTTGCATAGAAGTTAAAAATGTCAAACTTGTGTGAAATATAATTTTAAAATTTTCAATTATGCACATAATTAGCAGAAATGTTACTATATAAAATCCTTTGATATTGTTGGAGTTTTTTTTTTTTTAAGTTTTTGGTTTTTGCTTTTGAGAATATATTTCTTATAGCATCTTCAGCACTGACTGTATTTGGAATGCATTAGTCTCCTAAAAATAAGGAAACCTACTGACCAGTCCTCTTGGGATTGCAGTATGTCTGTTATAATTTAGTGAATCCTATGATCTAGAACATCTCTAACTTGTTATTGCATACACGACTCTTCACATCTGGTCTTGGAAACTTTGTACTGGTGACAGTTATCCACTCCTGGACTGCATCCTTTCTTCACCTCTACCTCTCAGAATACCTTATTTCTTTCAAACTCAGCTGTAGACCTACTGATAACTGAAAAAACTGTTGACTTCTTTTTGGCTTTCTTATTCTTCATGCCTTCTCTTGACCAATCTCAGTTATCCTTAAAGTTGCTTATAAAATCATTACAAATATTAACAAAAGTATTAAACTTTGAAATTGTTAGAGGAATTCATTATCCTTATTAAAGGTTGTGTAATGTGAATTAATATGACCCTCTCTTTCATCTAGAATGACACTTCCTGTGGTGATTATATTCGAAATAATGAAACCAGTTTGATGGAACAAGCCCCTTTACTTCACGATGGACTTACCATGGCTTCTCATAGAACTCAACGAGAAGGTATGAAGATATTTTTGAGAAGCTCACTGTTGGCTTCAGTATTTCTTAAAGTATGTTAGAAAATTTTACATATTAATTATGGAAATTCACTCAAGACATATTTCACATATTTTGTTTTCAGATAAATTAATAGGGAGAAGGAATGAAAAGGATGCCATTGTAATACAAAGAAATAGGGTAACATTATGGAAGAGAGAAAAGAAATTATTTTCTCTCTTTTGCATTCAGGGAATCCCTTTTCCCATGCAGAGAGGAGAATTAAATGGGAAAAAAATCTGTCATTCACAAGTGATGTCTTTTACCTGAATTTCTGAAGCACCATAAAGTATTTTCATTTTAAACATAATATATCTTCAGAATAGTTGATTTATCTTACTTTCCTGTTAATATTTGGTGTTTTTCAAAGCACTAAAGGGGGCAGTTAGGTGGCTCAGTGAATAGAGCACTGGACCTAGAGTCAGGAAGACCTGAGTTCAAATTCAGCCTTAGACACTTGCTATTTGTGTGGCCCCTTATAAGTTACTTACCCATTTCCTCATCTGAAAAATGGGAATAATAGCAGCTCCTACCTCCCAGGATTGTGAGAATTAAATGAGATAGTAATTGCCAATTGTTTAGCACAGTGGCCGACACATTGTAAGTACTATCTATATAAATGTTGGCTATTATTATTATTACTACTAAAAGATGCTTTTTAAATTGTAGCATAATACCCATTTAAACTATGGAACCAGATTATGCCATTATGTTTTTAACTTTACTCCTTATTTTGCCAGTCATTATTTCCTACTTTTAATTTATACTTTGAATACCCAACTATTTTCATTTTTAATGCCTCTCTTAGCAGATAAACTTTTTTCCTGTTAGTTTTAAGATTTAATTCCTTAATAAGTATTTGTAGTAAGTGTTTAGAATCAGTAGTTTTGGAATTTTCTTGTCTGTAGCTGGTTTTGTCTACAGTTGGTCACTGTAACTATTTCAGATGAAAATAACAATCTTGCAAGTCAGTGATACTGCTACCTACAGCTATGTTTTTTTTAGTCATGTTGAATTTCAGTTTATTAAAATTAGATATTTCATCATGTCCCAAATTTTGTGTGACAAGATTTTTCCATTGATGCATAGAAGTTAAAAATGTCAAATGTATGTGAAATATAATTTTTAAATTCTCAATTTATGGTCAAAATTGGCAGAAATGTTGCTATATAATCTTTGAGATTGCTGGGTTTTTGTTTTATTTTTTAAATTTTTTTGGTTTTGCTTTTAAGATTACATTTTTGGTAAAAAATTTTTTTATTGTACACTTAAATACAAAATGATAAAAGAAAAAAAATCTGCCATGTGCACAGCAGACCATAAGAGAGAATTTAATAAAAAACAGTAAATTTTCATCTCCAGAAAACCTATGTAATAACTATTACATATTGTTTTCAAAACTGCCCAGCTTTTTATTGCTTCCTTGTTGGTTTTCTTTTGTTCTCTGCTGTGTACTTTTTCCTATTCCCCCTTCCGCCCCAAGAAAGCTACAATTAAGCGTGGAGATATATATATATATATATATATATATATATATATATATATATATATATATATATCTATAAATATATATACACACACATATATATGTATATGTGTGTATATATATATGTATATATGTGTGTGTGTATATATGTGTATATGTGTTGCGTGTATATATGCATGCATACACACACACACACGTATGCTTAGTTGTAAACGTAGACACATATACACTCATACACATATATGTAAGACCATACTATACTTATTTCCTTCTTTCACACTAGAGGTGGATAGCATCTTCCTTCATAAATCCAAGTCTTTTCATGTTTTTCTAAATGAACCAGCTGATAGTTGCCTATACTGCAGCAATATTCCTTTCTGGATTCAAACAGCATCTTCCTTCATAAGATTTTTGAGGTTAATTTGGGTATTTATAATAGAATGACATAGTTGCTCAAAGTGGTTTTTAAAACAATACTGCTGTTACTGTATACAGTTTCTCTTGGTTCTGCTCATTTCACTTTTCATTATTTTGTGGAGCTCTCACCATGCTTTTCTAAAATCATTGAGCTCATCGTTTTTTATAGCAAAGTTATATTCCATCCTGAACATTTCCATAATTTGTTTAGCCATTCCCCAATTGATAGGCATCCCCTCAATTTCCAATTCTTTGCCACCACAGAGAGAGCTGCTATAAATATTTTAGAAAATACAGGATTTTTTCCATTTTCCCTAATCCTTTTGGGAAACAGACGTAATCGTGGTATGGCTGGGTCAAAGGGTATAGGCAGTTTAATAACTGGTTGGGCATACATTTCTTATAGCATCTTCAACACCGACTTTTTGTATTCAAGATGTTAGTCTCCTAAAAATAGTGAAACTTTCTGACCAATTCCCAACTCTAGCGGTTAACATAGGGACAAAGAATACCTCCAGAGAGCCTAGAAGGCTGTGAGGTTTAGGTAGTACGTGCCCAAAAAATATTGTGAAGACCTTAGGGGTACAGGTAGTGTTTCTTCATCATTACTCCTGATTAAGGTTAAGGATTTAGAAGAGAAGCTGACTTTGGAAGTGAACAGCCAATGAAGGTAGTGTTTGAAATGTAATTTTGATTTCTGAAATAGAAATAATAGACTTTTGGCCAAGGATGAAGTGTTTCTAAGAAGGACCAATTAAAATGCATTTCTTAAGTACAAATCTACTTAAGAGGAATTTAAATTGAAAAGAAAGGTGTAGAAAACTACCCATAGAGATCTGTGACAGCCCTGGCTTCCCACAAAGACTAACAAGTAATAGAAGATGAATAGCTGGTGACTTGTCATTGACTTACTTCTTGGCTGTTTCATTCCCACCCTCTCCAGCTTCCATGCCTGGTACAACACTTTTAGGCCTGATAGCCCTGCCTTGCTGGTTGGTGGTTGCCTCATTTGATCACTGTATGTAGGCCTGGATTGGAGACATTCATTCTACTCCCCTGCCATTTCCTCAGTCGCCACCATCTTGCCATGCACTTACTCCTAGAACCTCTGCCCTGAACTGCCCTTCACCCCCCTTCCTTGACTCCACTCATCAGTCTGTCTCTTTATGAAATAAAGTCCCTTCCCTGGCCACTGTTCCCCAGATGCATTGTCTCCCCCTGTAAGCTCTTGAGTGGCAAATTAGACTATTTTTGCTTTTGCATTTTATTTCTAATGCTTAATACCGTGTTTGGCACCTAGTAAGTGCATAATAACTGCTTTTTCATTGATTCATTCATGGAAAATAATATCCAAGAAGTGAGCCTCAAATGTCTCTCATAAAATGCCCAGGGTGTACTAGAGATCTAATGTAGCGAGGCAGATTTTATTTCATAGGCATCTCTTACAACTTTGTAGGATAAGAATCATGACTAGAATATGGCTCTATTAGAGTATGCTTTATTCAAAAAGAATAAAATAAATGTGCTGTGAGGTGAAGAAGAATAGTATATGTAGAGTTATATGAAAAAATCCAGATATCTGAGAAAGAAGCAGATTTGAGATTATTTGTATAAAGGTAAGTGGGAAAAGACAGCAGTAGTGTTAGAGCATATACTACAGACCACCTGGCTAGGAGGAGGAAATTAGATGGGTTTGGGAAATAGGTCACAAGTCTGGCGTGTAATCTTGATACTACAGTGATGGGGAACTTCAAATGAGCATTAACTGGATTTCTCTCTGCTACTGTTTTGTAAGTCCTTGCCCCCAAAAGCAAAGCAGATATTTGACTTAAGGATTTCAGCGTTGAAAACATATAAAAAGAGGTACTACTATGCTTAACTAATTCTGACCAACTAGTAAGACCTGGTTTAAGTAGAAACTTAAGGAACAAATCAAGTGACTACTGTATCCTAGTTTTATAATAAAGGAGAGGTTGGGAGGCAGCATGGTATATTGGAAAGAATGCTGAATAGTGTGGAGCCTTTGGCCTGAGTTTCAATCATGGTTCTGCTACTTAGTATCATTATGTCCTTGAGAAGGTTACATAGCCTCTTGGCTTCAGCTTCCTTAACTGTAAATGAAGGGAGTTGTACTAGATAACCTTTAAGGACTCTTCTAGCTTCTCTAGATCTATGATCCTACTGAATGGTAGTCATAATCCAACATGTACCGTAGGTTTTTACAGAAGCAGGTTTTAGAGTTTGGAGAAAGGTTAGCTGAGATTCAGTGGCCTCATATTTTAATTCTAAAAAATGAAATTCATAAGACACAAGTCGAAATTATTTTGGTGAGGAGGAAAAGAGAGACTACTTAAAAGAATTGAATATGTACTTGACCAACTTAGATTTTATTTTTTAAAACTTGTATAGAAGATAGAAGTCAAGGCTGAGAATGAATATAAAAGTTTTCAGTATGTCTTGGTTCTTAAAAAATGTAATCTCAAAAGCAAAAACAAAAAACCCCCAGCAATCTCAAAGATTATTTAGCACCATTTCTGCCAATTATGCCCATAATTGAGAATTTAAAAATTATATTTCACATAAATTTGACATTTTAAACTTCTATGCATCAATGGAAAAATCTTTCCACATAAAATATGGAACATGATGAAATATCCAGCTTTAATAAACTGAAATTCAACATGACTAAAAAAAACATAGCTATGGATAGCAGTGTCACTGACTTGCAAAGTGGTCATATTATATTTCACACAAGTTTGACATTTTTAACTTCTGTGCAAAAGTGAAAGAATCTTTATTTTTAAAATTTTTTTTGTTTTTGCTTTTGAGAATTCATTTTTTATAGCATCTTCAGCACTGACTGTATTTGGGAGACATCAGTCTCCTAAAAATAGTGAAACCTACTGACCAGTCCTCTTGGGATTGCAGTATGTCTGTTATAATTTAGTGGATTCCATGATCTAAAACATCTCTAACTTGTTATTGCATATACAACTTTCCACCTCTGGTCTTGGTAACATTTGCTATCCTTGTGAGCAAGATAGAAGAGATAGTATGATAAATAGTATAAATAATACTGTGGTTATAGTATCATTTGGTTTTGAAACTGGTTGAATGCCTAGAATGAAAATTAGTGCCTAAAGCATGAGAATTAGTGGCTTAATGTCAAATAGGAAGACCATCTTTAGTGGAGCATCCTGAGAAATTTGTCTTTAGCCATGTGCTTTCAACAATTTTAGTGGTGACTTATCTAGAAGCTTAGGTGACATGCTTGTCAAACTTGATTATGATGTGTTTTCTTCTAATGATAGGTTTTCTGCTAACACTCTTAAGTCTTATAATTTGAGAAATTTCTTTCATGGGAGTTTGGAGAAAGTGTCTTATCTCTTAATTGATGGATAGCAAATTAATACTTTCCCATCTTGTCTCAACGTCAAAAGAGTTTTAGCCATGGTTTTGTGTTTGTTATTGAAATAAAACTAAGTCATTCTCTTTCTTTTCAGCTGTACACATTGAGAAAATAATACTGAAAGGAGCACAAAGAAAAAGGGCTGACAAGCATTGGGAATACACCTTCAAAGTAAGTTAAAATATTGAGATACTTAGAGTATTTGTTATGTCAGATTTTTTTTAAGGTAGAAACTGACGTTTTGAAAAAAAAACCTTGTAATTTCAGTTGTGTGGGTGTATGATCAAATATTTGCATTGATAGACTATTATGAAGTATCTATTTTCAAAAATTGGAATACAATACAGCATAACATTAAAATGATGCTGAACATATTTTAATCTTTGATTAAATGAATTGCATTTATAGGATTGTAGACTGAAGGGACCAGAGAGGTATCAAGTTAAACCTCTTTTTATTGAAAAAACTGAGATTCACTGAGGTTAAGTGAATCAGTATTACCAGAATTTGTTACATACAAAAAATGTGTACTTTCTTAATTTTCACTGGAGATATTCATGTCACATTTTGATGCCTAGAAATTTGTTTTTAAGAAAACAAATGAGTAAAATTTTACATTTTTTTAACTTTGAAGGGATTGCCTATAACAAATACTTTTGCAATGTTGTGTCTTGAGAACGTTTGATTATGAGTGCTTTAGTAGAAATGAAGAATTTTAAAAACTTTTGTTTTGTAGAATGCTAAGAAAAAAGTTTACAATGTTGGGTGGGAAAAAGGAACAAAAAAATCCCTTAGGATTATTTCTAATGTGGTAAGGTAACAATGTAGCTTCTTTGGCTTCCTTCAAGTCTCAGCTAGTGTCTCACCCTTAGGCAAGAAGCCTTTCCCAGTCCTTGATCTTAGTGCTGTCTTTCTGAGATTGTCTCCAGTTTAACCTCCATGTATCTTATTCGTACATAGTTTTTATTAACATGTCTGCCTAATAGACTGAGCTACTTGAAACTAGTGACTGCCTTTTGTTTTCTTTTGCTTTTCTTTATATCTTCAGTGATTAGTACAGTGCTTAATAAATGCTTGCTTGTTGACATGTGTCTTAATGACTTCATTAAGGTATTGTGAAGACTATCGTCAGTTTCCTTATCTGTAAAAAGGAGTTGGCTTAGAGCTCTTAAAATTCTGTCATTATATTGAGATTTGAATGAGAAAATATGTGACAATACTTTAGGTTTTCAAAGTTAGATGCATATGTATACATAACATATATGGTGCTGTTTCAAGTTGGATAATAGAAGCAAAGGCATAGGCAAGTATAACCTGCTATACAATATAGTACAGATAGATTTTTTTATTTAAATAAGTTTTTATCAATAATCTTTTATTTTTATATCACTACATTTCCAAATATAGTATATCCTTTCCTCTTCTCCCAGAGAGCATTCTCTTATGACAAAAAGTTAAAAGGAAATGAGGCAGAGCAGCAGAGAAAACTACCCTACTTGTTGAAAAAGCATCTCAAGACATTCAGTGTTCCACACTCATAGCCACCTACTTCTGTGAATAATCTGGAGAGGAGCCTTTTCATATCTCTTCTTTAGGGACAAGCTTGGTCATTATAATTTTATAGCATTCCATATCCACTGTTATTGCTGCTTCCATTTGCATTGCTCTAGTCATTATGTATATTGTTTTCTTGGTGCTTCATTTTACGTCAATTAATGTCTTCTCATGTTTATCAGTAAATAATATATTCATCATTTCTTGTGGCATCCCCAGTAGAAATAAATCATTTTTATCATTATCCCCCTAAGGACATATGTCTACCAGTGGAATTTCTGGGTCAAAGAGTGTGGACAGTTTAGTTACTTTGTTCATATAGTTACACATTAACAGTATTATTTTTATAAAGAGGTATAGTTAGTGCTTTTAACATACTAGTGTAGGATTATCTTTTGCTCAGCTATCTTAATTGTAACAGACAACTAATTGAGATACATGTGTAAAGTACTTTATAAATGTGAAAATATTATATAAGTATACAAGTGCTAGCAATTATTTTAGTAATTTTTAAATTTATTTTTGTTTTGCTTATTTTACTCTCCATCTATTTCTACAATTCTTTCCATATTTGTCTGAATTGTTCATACTTATCATTTCTTACTGCACAATAATAATTTCTTATATTCTTAGGCCTTAGTTTTTTCATTCGTCCCCCAATTTGTGGTCACCTACTTTGTTTCTAAGGGTGCTGCTTTACATATTTTGGTACATGTTGTACATTTGTTTCTGCCCTTGATCTTCCTTGGTTTATATGCTTATTTGTGGGATCTCTGAGTCAAAAGATAGGGGCATTTCAGTCACTTTTTTTGCATTATTATAACTGGATATACCTAGTATGGTTGGATTTCCTAAAAGCTCTGTTCAGTACTTGAATACTTGTGAATATATCCTGAATAATAGTTTAGAATTATGCTAAGAAAGTGAACAAAAACTCTTTGACCAAGACATTCCACTGCTAGGCAGTCTATATATACTATATTGTATAAATTTTACTTCGAGAACAAAGGACAAACAATAACTATATTGCATACCCCAGTGACATCAAAGATAGAAAGAGGTCCTATGTACACCAAAATATTTATAGCTTCCCTTATTGTGGTAGCAAAGAACTGAAAACAAAGTAGAGACCGTTGGGAATGTCTAAATAGATTGTGGTACGTGAAGGTAACAAAATGTCACTACTGTTAAAAAAAAAAAAGGACTATTATAAAGAATTCAGAAAGTCATGGGAAGACTTGTAAAAACTGTTGTCGAGTACAGTGAGCAGAACCAAGAAAAGAATATCCATGACTGTAGCAATATAAACAGAGGGAAAATACCCCAAACTGAACACTACATAGTTATGATCACCAAGCTTGGTTGGTGTTGAGAGTTGAAGAGTTGAGAAAATGTTTTATGTCTTCATGTAGAGGACTATGGATATATAATGCTGTATATACTCTCTATGTTTTAGTTAATTTGCTTTACTGATTTGTAATCCGTTACAAGGGGTGGCTCAAGGAAGTAGGGAGGAAATATAAAGAAATTTTTTTAAAGGAGAAAAAGTGAAGTAGTATACCTCTCTATAAGGACAGACCCTCTAACATTAATTGTTCCCATCTTCTGTCACTTTGCCAGTTTGTATGGTATGAAATAAAATCACACAGTTATTTTAATTTGTGTTTCTCTTGCTATTAGTGAGTGGGAGCGTATTTTCATGTGGTCTTTTATTGTGTGCAATTTTCCTTTTGAAAACTTTTTTCATATTATTTATCTACTTATATATTGGGAAATGCTTGTGCTGTTTTATATTTATCTTGATTACTTATATAGGATGTCATACTTTTATCATATCTTATGCAGAGCTTTTTTTCCATTCAACTCTTTTTCTCCTGAGTCTTTTCTCATTTTCCCCCCACACAAAACGTTTTTAGTTTTAGGTGTCAGAATTGCCTGTTTTGTTTTTTTGTGGATCCCTTATTGACTAGTGAATTCAACTTTTGGTTTTTCATTGACTGTTAAGATTTTGTACGTTCATCTAAGCAAGCTAAGATATCCAGATGCTTTAAGGGCCTCAGATAATAAAGAACACATTGGGTTTTATACCTTTCCTTTGGCAAACATTCACCTTCAACCTTGTCACCTCAAAACACACCATTTGTTGGAAGTTGTGTGATTTAATTGAGTTTAAAGTTCCAGTAAACTATAAGAGAGTATTTTTCACAATTCATTTCCTTATATCACATGACAGACTTGAGATTTTTCTATTGGGATGTTTTAAGAAGAAGATAACAGAGCAAAGCAGGTTATTTTAAAAGATTTGTTTCATTGATAGGCTCACTTCTTTTTTAATAGCTTCAACTTATACAAAACTTTCAAAAAAAATTTCTGTTGCAGGAAGTAAACATGCAATATGTTTTTTCTCTATCAGGTAAACTGGTCTGATCTTTCTGTAACAACTGTAACAAAAACACATCAAGAACTACAAGAATTCCTACTAAAGGTATGTATTTTTAATAAGGCTACATAGTAATGGCCTGCCCAATTTTAATAAAAGCCTTAGATATAGGGAATAAATTTTAATTTTAATATAAGGATACCAGAGAGGCATCTTCTTTCATTTCATTTTCAGAATGTTACTTTAACCAATGTTAATTGAAAGAAAATTTTCACTTTTAAATTTGTTTACTATATATTAACTTTCTTTCAATGATGGAAATAGTGAAATTTTTGCTCTTATGGAAACCAAGTCTAACTCCACATCTCTTACTGAAAGTTTTGTGTTGTTAACTTGGGGGATTGTGGAAAGAATGGTTTCCAGGAAATTAAGTCAACCTCATTTCTGTAAAACTTTTCACAAACTTAAAAAAGAAAGTCATTCGTAAGACTTCCTACTCCCATCTTCCTATATCTCCAAGTAAAAATTTTGATGGAATTTTTAAGCCAGTAAGCAGGAGATAGTGATAAAATAGTTTGTTTTGTTTTTTAGCTACTCATAGATGATCTGGTTCTTGATAGTTGTAGTTTACCTTTCTATAGTTGATATTTATAATAAGTTTATGTATGTAGTGAATGATAAACTAGATTAATAATGTACAATATTTGTGCATTTATGACTTATTAAATTATTAAAAGTTTTCTTTACATATGCACATGGTCTGCAGTTTTCCATAGCACACTGCTGATCTCCAAAAATTCCCATTTAATTGTTGATGGGCAACCTGGAATAACCAAAACCATGAATATTGAGGGATAACTGTATATTTTATTCCTTTGACCTGAAATAGCATCTTTGCCTCTTATGTTCCATTCTGCACTATAGTTATTACGTGCTATTTTCTCAATCCTCTCCGTCCCCCAACTAGATTATAAGCTTTATGAGGAAAGGGACCACCTTGTCTTTTTCTCTTGCCACACTTGCCACAGCACCTAACAGTCCTTTGCAGATATTAGTCACTTAATAAATAGTGGTTTCATGAATGAATTTGTAAATGAAATAGTAATTTAAAACAACCTTACTTGAATATATTGGGAATTTTAGGTGGGGTGGTTTTAAATTTTTCTTCTTGCACATTTGAAAAAAAATTAAATTTATTAAAGTTTAATTATCAGTAAAATCATATTTGAGAGATTAAGGAAAGGAGGCTAGAAATATTTGAAGTATTATTAGTAGTTTTTGCTTATTGTGGGTATGCCTTATATCTTTTAGTTGTTAGATAATTGACAACAACGTGCCAAATTTTTATGAGTAAAACGAATCCTTTTGAATAAGCAAAATTTTGTGAATATAAACTGAGTAATTCAGGGGATCAATTCTTAAACAAATAGATTTTTACCTTGGCATTGTCTGATAGCTTTTAGATTTTAATTTTTTTCTTCCTTTCTACTTCTCTGCCTTCTACCTCTATCCTGCAAGTTGTACAGCAAAAGAAAAAAAAAAAGTAAAGAAAAAAATCTTTATGATAAATATGTATAGTCAAGCAAAGCATGTTCTTCTCATTGGCCATGTCTAGAAACATGTATCTCATTCTGCATTTTGATTACATCTCCTGTCTGTGAGGAGATACGTTTATTGTGTTTCATTTTTGATCCTCCAGAATAGTGTTTGGTCATTTCATCAATAATTGTTAAGTCTTTTAAAGTTTTTCAAAGTTATTTTCTTTATAATGTTGTTGCTATTGTGTAAGTTGTTATTCTGGTCCTGCTCACTTCATTCTGTATCTGTTCATAAATGTCTTCCCAGTTCTTTCTGAAGCTGTCCATCTCTTATTTCTTAGGGAAATGTGTCATTTCATGTGAAACAATAATAAAAATATTCCATTATACTTGCATACCATAATTTATTTAGCCATTTGCTAAAGGGTGAATATTACTTTAGTTCCACCTTTTTTTTCTTTATTGCTGCTGCAGTAAACATTTTTGTACATGTGGGTCCTTTCCTTTTCCTTTTATTTCTTGGGGTTTAGGCTAGTCATTAGTGTTATTGCTGGGGTACAGTGACTTTGAGAGCATAGTTTCAAATTATTTTCTGGAATGACTGTACCAATTCATAGCTTCAGTAACAATTCATTAGCTTGTGTACTTGTTTTCTTTCACCCTTTCCAATATTTGTGATTTTCCTTGTTATCTTATTTGGCAATCTGATGGGTATGAAGTAGTTTCTTTAGTTGTCATATTTCACATTATTAGTGATTTCAAACATTTTTCAGTATCATTGCTGACAACTTGTATTTCTTCCTTTAAAACTATGTTTTCATATCTTTTAACCATTGATCCATTGGGAGAATGAACCATATTCTTAAAAATGTGGATCAGTTCCTTATATAATGTCTTGGAAATGAGGCCCTTATCAGAAAAACTTGCTGCAAAGGGTTTTTTTTTTTACAATTAGCTCTTTCGCTTCTAATTGTAGATTCATTAGTTTTGTTTACGTGAAAATTTCTTAATTTTATGTACTCAGAATTGTCCATTTTATCTTCTTTGGGCCTCTGTCTTTGGTCATGAACTCTTTTTCTATCTATAATCTCAAAGGTAAATTCTGCTTCTCTGATTTGCTTGTGATGTCACCTTCCACGTCCAAGTCATATATACATTTTGAGTTTGACTTGGTTTAGAGTGTGAGCTATTGGTCTATAGACCAACAATCTAGATCTGTTATGCTAGACTACTTTCTAGCTTCCCATTGGTTTTTCTCTAATAGTAAGATCTTATTTCTTGTTGGGGTAAAGGGTCTTGGGGCTCGCCAGATGCTGTGTTGGTTTTTATGTATATTTTATACTTAATTTGTTCTGTTCCACTGATCTAACCTTTCCAATTATTTTGATGTTTATTGCTTTGTAGTACAGATTCAGGTCTGATATTTCTAGGCCTCCTCTTTCCCATTATTTCCTCATTATTTGACATTTTTGTTCCTCCAGATGAATAATATTTTTTCTAGCTCAATAAAATAATAATTTTGTATGATTGGCAGGGCATTGAATGGGTAAATTAATTTAGTATTGATATTTTTGTTATGTTGGCAGGACCTTTTTATGAACAATTAGTACAAGGATTCTTGGAGTCTTTAAACTTTTAAAAAATATTTTAATAATTGTATTTTGATATAATTGGTTTTTAATCCTACATATTTTATGCATTTAAAAACATTCTGAAAAAAGTCCCATTATACATAAAAGGCTAAGAAACTTAGAATTAGTATTTCTGCAATTATTTAGGTCTTTTTTTCCCCCACAAATAGTGTTTTATAATTATGTTCATATATGGATCCTGTTTGTGTTTTGGTAGATGGACTCTCAAATATTTTATGCACTTTTACTACCCAGTTAAGACTCCACTTTCCAACACTGGAATTTGTTTTCTATATGTTTCTATTTCTGTGCATGTGTTGATTGTATTCATCCTTCTTTTGTCCAGTTAAGGTGAAAGTGAAGTCCATGGGATGCTTGTTCGCCCACTGCTTCCTGTATATTTGTATACTCTTCAGTTCATTTACCCTTATTATGTGTTTTTATCTGGTACATATTTTAGAAGATTTATTCAGGTTTTTGTGGGATATCTGGGCTCTTCTAGGTCCTACCATACTGCCATTTTACTGTCCTAATTTTTAAAAAATGTTACTGATAGTTCTGACATCATACAGCCCCCTACTGTATACTCCAAAATAGATTGCACACAATATAGAATCCCTGAAAAGTTAAATAAAACAACATAAATAATTGTGACTGATAGTATGTGCAGCCTTAACACTCAGTTTAAGAATAAATGTTTGCTTTGTAACCTAGTAGCAACTTCATCTAGTGTTTTCTCTCTGTTGCCATTTAATGTTGTCTTGACTTCAGTAGCCAAAGCAATTTGTTTAATATTTTAATTCTGCCTGGTTCATGCTGCATCACTTTATGCACATCTTCCTACATTTCTTTAATTTCTTTATTATTATTCCTTATAGTATATTAATATTCCTTTTATTATATTATTTATATGTATTATATATTACATATTTATAAATTATATATTTATGTATTATATTATACAAAAGGGCAGTCCTTTTAAAATTCCCCTAAATATCATGACATAAATTGATTCCATTTTTTTGCTATTACAAATGTTGCCATTATGCATATTTTCATCTAGATATATCTTTTCTTCTTATGTTTTTCCTTGGAATATTATCCTAATAGTGCAGTCACTGGATCAGAATGAATCAGTTGCCGGGCATTTTATTTAGTGCTTACGTGTTCCAGGCACTGAATTAAACACTGGGGATACATAGAAAGGCAAAACCTGGTACCTGCTACAAATTTTATATCCTAATGGGGAAATGATACCTAAATAACTATGTACAGATAATATATATGCTGTATAAGTGTAAGATAATCTCATATGAAAGACATGAGTAACTTTTCTTTAGAGATTCCAGGTGGTTTCCTAAGGGATTAGACCAGTTTATTGCTTGGCCAGAAGTGTATTTTTGTGCCTGTTGTTGCAGCACTAAATTTTTTTATACAGTAATCATAATCATAACCAGCATTTATGTAATACTTTAAGAGTAAAGTACAAAGTTATTTACAGATATCACATTTTATCCGCACAACAACCATGTGAGGTGAGTGCTATTGTTATTCTCATTTCACAAATGAGAAAACTGAGGCAAACTGGTTGTGATTTGCCCAGGATCACAAAGCTACTAAGTCTCTGAGACTGGATTTGAACTCTTGATTTCAGATCGAGCACTTCTCTACACTGTGCCACCTAGTTGCTTTTTGTCTTTGCCAACTTAATGGACCCAAGTGATAACTCAAGAGTTGTTTTAATTTTTTTCTAGTTATTAGTGATTTTGAGCACTTCTTTAGATAGATGTTGAAAGAATAGTTTGTATTTCTCCTTCCAAGAACTGTGAGTTTGTAATCATCAGTCACTTCTCTGTTGGCTTGTAGTGTCAGCCATTTCCTATGTGTTTTCTCTGTGTTTTTACTCTTTTTGCTACTTTTTCTCTCTGCTTATTTTTATGTAAAAGTTTTTTATTTTTATATATTCAAATTAATCTGTTTTGTCTTTAATGATCTGCCCTACTTGGTTACAAATGCACCATTTATCCATAGTTATGAGAGAACCTATCATCCAGAACATTTTTATTATGATTTAAAAAAATATTCATCTTATTTGTTTTTTGTGGTACATGGTATAAGATGTAGATCCAAATATTTTTTGTATTAAACTTCTATACAGTTCTCTAAGAATTGTTGAATAAAGGACCACCCCCCACTCCTCCACTCTCGTTCCGTGTGTTCTTGGGTTTATTTAAAACAAGACTGATGTACATATTTGCTTTGAAATCTTGTATATCTAATCTATTCCAGTGATCTACTTCTTAAAAAATGATTCAGCAGATAGTTTTGATATAATTTGTGATTTGGCAATGCCAAGCCCCCTTAATTGCTGCTTGTTTTCATTATTTTCTCAAATTTTCCTTGGCTGTTTATTATTACTACATATGAATTTTGTCATTTTCTTTGTAAATGGTCATTTTGGGGAAATGTAAAAAATTAAATCTCTATGAAAAACAATAGAGAATTGGCAGAGGTTGACCAGGAATAGACAGATTGTGGTGCTTATCTCTGGAAGGAATACTCAAAAGGCTGAGATGATATGTCATTGAGAGTTTGAGGAATAGAATTTTACAAAATATCCCCTTATAATTCAATAGGTTTAGTGTTAAATTTGTTGTAAGTATCAATTTAGTCTGTCTGTGGCTTCCACCATTTTGCCCTATCCATGTGCAGACAGGGACAATATAGACAGTGACAGGGACCAATAGATCTACACCCCCCACCCCACAAAATTTTACAAAGGAAAGAGACTTCCCCTTTCATCTGATATCCATTGACCTCAGTAACATAGAGGTGCTGAATGGGGATGGATTGGTTATTAATTTTAAAACAGCTTCCTTCAATAAGTAGAAGCTCCAGTGACTGGTCTTCTGTGAACTTGGTTTGGGAAAATGGGAAACTTTAAGAAGAGTTATAGACCCGTAAGTACTTTAGTCTTTGTTAGTGCAGATTTCTTAAGCATACCAAATTGTCAGGTATATTCCCAGGAGCAAAAATGATGTCAGAAAAATTTTCCATTTTCAGTAGCAATTAATTTGACATTACTTAACCTCATTTTTTCCTTCACTGTTGGGAAGCAGTAGAGAGCAGAGGCTGCAAACTTCAGAATAATAAACTGTTAGTCCCAGAGAGTAGGGGAGAAGTATTTCTTGGCTTCTGTTGTAGTTTTTCTATACACGATTCAGGGACTACTTTTGTTCCTTTCGATCTGTTTGGTTGTTCTCTCTCTTTCCTTCTGATTAAAATTTATGCTCTATTTTTATACAGAAGTTGAAGTACAATTAAATTTTGAGTGAGACCCTGTAACAGCATGATTTTACTACTCTCTCTCCTTTCATCCTAAATCTCCTAAATAATTTTAATTGTGCTAAGGTAAAGTTGCTTTATCAGGTTTCCTTCAGTCCTGGATATTTTGTCATATTTCATTTATTCAGTCATGTAAATTTCTAAGCTTTTAAAAAATACTATGTGTTTCCACAGGAAGTATATATAATATACTAAGTAACATCTAATACACAATTCTCTTCTGAAAGACTGTTTTGGTTAACATTGGAGCTTTACAACTAATTTCATATCACAAATATATTTTTTAAACTACCCAGTAAATAATTATAGTAAATGCTCTTTTTATGTTTTCTGAAATGCTCAGCAAAATTTTAGACCTCAAGGGGCAGCTAGGTGGCACAGTGGATAGAGCACCAGCCCTGAAGTCAGGAGAACCGGAGTTCAAATCTGTCTTCAGACAAACACTTGACACTTAACTAGCTGTGTGACCCTGGGCAAGTCATTTAATCCCAATTGCATTTAAAAAATTAGACCTCAAATAAATAAAAAAATAATAATTTAGACCTCCCAATGCTGATTGTTACCTGGGATTGATAATGAAAAGGGATAAATAAATGTATAAAAGTACAAGTATTTTAACAGTGTGTGTGTGTGTGTATGTGTATACACATCCTTTATAAACTACAACTCAGTAAAAATGGGAATTAATATAAGGAACAAAAGCAGTTAGACCTAGGTGGAGACTTAATGATATCCTACACAGTAATTGGGTCAAAGAACAACTCAGAAATAATAATTGTGAAAAAGATTGATAATGATGTGACAGGATGCAACTAAAGCAGTTATCAGGAAAGTTTTATCTGGGAATTTAGAGGATTAAAGAATTTAATATGTAATTTGAAAAACTGAAATTAAATCATCCAGTAAAACCAAAATAAACAAAAAATATCTTGGAAATTAGAGATATTAAAAAGAAAATGGAAAACAGAATTTCTGTAGGAATGATTAACAAAAACAAAAGCCTCAGTCTCCGAAAATGATAATAAAATTGATAAACTTTTAGCTACATGAGGAAAAAGAGATGAGAAAATCACATTGCTAAAAAAAAAAGATAATAGCTAACATTTATACAGTGCTTACTCTATGCCAGGTACTTTAGCAATTGCTATTTTATTTGATCCTCACAACAATTCTGGAAGGTAGGTGCTATTATTATCCTCATTATGTAGATGAGAAAACTGAGACAAATGGGGGTTAAGTGATTTGTCCTGTACCACTCAGTATGGTACAGGAAGCCTTATTTGAACTTGAGGTTTTCCTGACTCCGGTCCCAGCATTCTATCTACTGTGCTACCTGTCTAGCATATCCTCAATAGAATGAATTCTCAGAACCAACTATACATAATTATATGCCAATCAAACTAAGAATTTTAAATCAACTTAGGATTATTTTCAGTAATATGAAATGCCCGAATTACCAAAACATGGAAATAGTGATATGACCTCATTCTCAAAAAAATGAAGAGAGTAAGTAGAAATCAAGAAATGACAACACTAAAGGCAGCAATAACTTCATTGTCCAGAATACTGTCTGAGCATTAGAGATTAAAGTTATATAATTTGGGTATTTTAAGCATTTTGTGGAAAATGCAAATAATGGAAAATCATGTACTTTTCCCAGACAATATACTGGATCCCACCATATTAGTGCTATGTCATTAAGACACCTACTTCCACTTACATGAACTGATACAAAGTGAAGTGAGCAGAACCAGGAGAACATCATACACAGTAATAGTTCAACTGTGAAAGCCTTGGCTACTGTGGTCAGTACAATAATCTAAGACAATTCTGAAGTACTTAGGATGAAAAATGCTATCCACTTCTAGAAAGAAAACTGATCAAGTCTGAGTGCAGATTGAAATGGGATTTTTTTCACTTTATTTTTCTTGCTGGGTGGGGAGGGGGGAAGCAGATGGCATAGAAGTATGTTTTGCATGACTTCACATGTATAATTGATCTCACATTGCTTATCTTCTCAGTGGGTGGGGGAGAGGAGGGAGCAAGAGAATTAGGGAACTCAAAATTTAAGAAAAAAAAGAATGTTAAATTTTTTTTTTAAAAAAGGCACATCTGAGTCACTCTTGTACTTGGAGTCCTGAGATATTCTTATATGTTGAGCTTTTACATCATCAACTGAATGTTGAAATATATGCTTTTTTTCACTTTCAGGTATGCCCATAAAACACAAAAATCTGGTTATATATCACTTCAAAATAGTAAACATACTGACTACATTGATTATTTATTGTTTACTATGTCAGTTATGAATAATTAGAGTAGAAATTGCTTTTGGATGAGTCATGGGCAAGAATGGTTTTTCTTGATATTTAGAGTTATTACAAAAAGCCTTACATCTTTTTTTTAACATGTGAGAAATTCATTATTTATTTATCTAGCTTCCAAAGGAACTGTCTTCAGAAACTTTTGACAAGACAATTTTGCGAGCACTAAATCAGGGGTCTCAGAAGAGAGAAGAACGGAGACACCCTGACCTAGAGCCAATCCTAAGGTAATAAGCTTTCTGAAATAGCCCTTTTAGCATAATTGTTACTCAAGGTAGCAGATTATCATGATAAACACTAGTATTGGTAACTAAAACAAGCTGTTTCTCTGTAGCTCCTTAAAAAGGGCTATTTGTGTTAAGGATATTTTAGATATATTCCTTCCTGGATTAAAAGAAAATCAACTTTTATTTTTTCATTATGTTTAACATACTGATTCTGAGCTATCTACTCATCAGAATATGTAAGGTTTTGTTTTGTTTTGTTTTTGTGAAATCTTTAATTTTGTCCTATATGAAGTATTTACTGAGGGGAAGGTTGCATATTTAAGATCCTTGACTATGTCACAGTTGATTAAAAGATTACACTCAGGATAGTTGGATACAATAAAATTTTAGTACATATTACCATGTTTAAAATAAATGTTTATACGTAGGTTTGTAAATGGAATGTTACTTTCCTGTAATTCATGCTAAATTATTAGTTCATTCAGTTGTTTTTTGTGTCGTTTTGAACTTTTGTTACTTTTATTCCACAATTTTTGATATTACTTTTCATAAAATTCTACTTTCTGTGACCCGTCTGTATTCATATTGTGACAAGACAAATTTCATGCAGTTCTGAAAACTTAAAGCTTCTGATGACACAGGGAAAATAATTTTCAAAGGCAGAGAGCAGGATTAGTAAAAAAATGTACTTGTAGGACAGCGAGGTGGTGAGGGCAATAGAGCACTGGCCCTGAAGTCAGGAGGACCTGAGTTCAAATCCCGTCTCAGACCAAACACTTGACACTTACTAGCTGTGTGACCCTGGGCAAGTCACTTAACCCCAATTGCTTTAAAAAAGAAGCACTTGTCTTATTTCTGCTCAGATAAACAGTTTCAGTTTCTTTCCTGCATAGCCCTTATTTTGCATTTATTCTTTCATTTGCTCATTACACATATCATGTTAGTTTTAGCAGCTGCAATTATAGAGTTGCACAGTGATGAGATTATTAATTAATGTATATTCTTTATATAAATGTTAACATAATGCAGTGTAAGAATGAACTGCTGATTCATGCATATGGTCCATCATAACATTAAGATATTTTTCAATTATCTTTGTGAATGATCACTTTTCTTCTTAGCTTCATTTCTGATCTGTAAATATATCAAACTTTAAAATTTAGCATCAAATTTTACAGAAAAATTTAAATCCTTTAGTATATTATGGAAACTGTTCCAACCCATTGCCTTCATTGGGTTGACCTCAGTTAGAGCAAGTATCTAGTTCTAAGTCTGCTTTCGTGTTTGTGTAATAAACTTGTATTTTATTTGTTTTTTATTTATAAAGTGTTGATAATGTAATTTATTGTACACAAAATAAGTAATTCTGTTCTCTTTTTATATGCAGGCAGCTATTTTCAGCTTCATCGCAAGCTTTTCTACAGAGTCAAAAAGTGCACAACTTCTTTCAGTCCATATCATCAGAATCTTTGCACAGTCTCAGTAAGAATATTTGCTTTTATTATGTTTCCTTTTAAAGTTTGTCTCTTCATTTTACTTTATTCTACATTCTCATTAGATTTACAGTTACTTTAGAGTGTAATCAAGTGTCAGTGATCTTTTTTGATATTTGCAAAATATTAAAGTGCTTTTATCACAAAATAAATTATAATTAGTAGTGAGTAATACTTCATACTAACATTCAGTTTTTGAAACAAAGATTTAGCAGCGAATGTAAACCCTAATGTAAATATTCCCCAAATCTGTGTGTGTAGTCCTGCCTCTTAAAGTGCTGATTTACAATGAAAAAAAAATACATTTTAAAAAATATTTGAGGTACTTTTTTTCATTAGTAACACTTTTCCATAGTAATAGTAGTTAAAATCTGTTGTCTTCTCGAATTTTCTTCTCTTCTGCTAGCATTAATATTAGAGAGTAGGGTGTTACATTACTGGTTAATTTTATGACTTCGATAAAGAGTAAAAGCTATCCTGCTCCACTTGATTTTATGATCTTTTTTCATACATAGGTTGCCTTAGATGATATTGCATCTGTTGATGTAATTTGCTTCTTTTTCTATACTCTTCTTTCTTTGTAATAGTTATGTTTTAGCAGCTATTTTATCAGTAAACTTGAGACAAGAACAAAGGTGTTTGCTGTTGGCTTCAAACATTGCTGCAGTAAAAGGGGACATAATTTTATTTCTTGGTTATTAAACACATTACTCTAAACAAACATAATTACTCATTCACCTTTAAATATTCTTACCCAACCCTTAGTCCTTGCTTCTATTGACCAAAATCTCCTACAAAGAAATTATGAGAAGATACGCATTGTCCTAAAATTTGGCATCAAGTACAAAGTATTGAAATTAAATTTGGAAATTGAATGGTTTGGTTTTTTGTGAAAAATTTAAACTGTGTCTGAAATGAAGAACTTTCGGAATAGCCCAACCCATCTTCAGTTTTAGACAGTGTGTATTTACAAACATTCTTTCAATATTAGATTTATATTCATTTAATTGAATTGGCATTTGTTGAATACCCGTTAGCTATAAGGCATTTTGTCAAGGTAAGCTATTTATAATGCCTCATATATACCTTCAGTTTTTAGGATTTAAGAGCTTAAAGGGACTTTAGAGTTTTAATCTAATTCTCTTTAATTTTATAGACTATGATAGTGGCCCAGAAGGTAACTTACCCTGTATTACATTGCCTTTAAGTTACAGACTTTCTACCTTTGCCTTGCTTTACCACCTGTTCTCTATACTTGAAATTCCCACCACCATAGCTCTCCAACCAGTATAATACAGCAGCTATTTACTAAACTTCATCTATTTGCAGAGCCTTCTGCTAGGTGCTAGAGGCACAATCTGAGAAGGGCATTTGAGACCAAATTAGAGAACTATAATGGACAAGAGTAAATTAATACAAAAGGTTACAACAGCCCCCCCACAGTGGTCAGAGAAGGAGGTGACATTTGGACATTAAAAAATAAATAGGTATTCAGAAGGCAAAAACACCAGAGCTGAGGGGCATTTCAGGCTTGAGAAACAACTTGATCATAGGTACAATGGCACATGAATAAAGTGTGCATTCAAGGGAAAAAGAACTGTCAAATCTGACTAAGATGAGAGTAGTATAGGACTTAGTTGTAAGGGTCCTAGAACACTAGGTAGGGCACTTTCAACTTAACTCAGAAGCAATCTGGAGCTGCTGAAGGTTTTTGAGCCAAGGAGTGGCATGGCCATACCTATGCATAAGAAAGATTATTCTGGCATCAGTCTGATTAAAATATGGTTAGGAACCCCTGTTATTAGGGTATTGCAGTGAGGAGTGGGGAGTTAATTTAGGCCTACACTGTGTACTGCCATTTAGAACAGAGAGGAGATCTAGGCAAGAAATGTTGTAGAGATGGAATCTATAATATTTGATAACTATATAAAAGGCAAGAAACCACTTTTGAACATGGGAGACTAGATGAATGTTGATGCCACAGATCATAAATTATCATAAAGAAGCTTATGTTTGAGGTTCAGTTTGATGTGCGTGTTTAGTTTATATCTTTCTTTTAAAATCCAATGCAAATGTTACCTCCAGAAGGCCCTTGATTCCTTCTTCCCTATCTCCTCCATCCATTGTTTTGCTTACATGAATTATGATTTCATCCATGCATCCTTCCCTCTACTAATAACTTCCCTCTACTTCCCATCTTCCTTTTACTTTGATAGAAAGCCTTTGTGATTTATTGTGAGTGGGGAAAAAAATTTCTTAGTGGTCATCCCTTTAGTGATGAGTCTTTCTGAACTTAGGTTGGTCTTCAAATGAATCCATTCGAAACCCTTACAGTCCCTCCCTGGGCTTCTTGAAGCTTTTTTAGCTTGGTGTAGCTTCTGCTAGAACTTAAACAGTGCTCATCTAACCTTCAGGACTCAAGATCACCTCCATATTACCATGAAGCATCAGAGAAGGACTGTAGTAGAAGAATAACAATATGCATTTATATAGCCCTTTAGTTTACAAAGGACTCACCCAGAGCTTTACTGAAGTATAGTTGCAAGATGTATCATCCTCTTTTTGTGATAGAAATTAGAAAATAAAGTGTCTGTATAAAAAAATTCCATATTTATTATGAACGACACAGCCTTTCTTTTGAGCTTGGATCATCAACACCTTACCTGCTTTAGCATGAAATTTGGGATTCTTGATATCATTGTTTCCCAAATGAATTCCAGTTATCAGAGCCTTACCTGTTCATTTGAAGTCTTAATGCCTTGTGACCATTAATATTATTTGAGGAGACATCATAGGGCTTCAGCCCTTTGTGACTATTGAATAACAACCAACTATGTAGAGGCCACAAGTAGCACGAGAACCCTTACCCTAACTCCAACTCCTCTTGTTTTTTCTTTTTCTCTGAATCCAAGAAAGGAGGATTCAAATCCCAGCCCCTCTCACATACTGCTACACTAAAGTCTCTGACTTTAGTTGAGAGCATTTGTAGTAAGTTCCCTCTCCTTCCTGAAGAACAATTCATCATCCTCCATTTCTTCATTTGTTTTAGTCTCTGAGGAAGATGGGGGGCGTCCTTCTGGCCAAGATCATTCCTTCTACTCGTGTTCTTTATCTGATCACCTTTGGAGAGCCTGTCCTCATCATTGACTAGCCATTTCCAACGCTCACCCCTTCTGATCTTCAGTTTTTTCATTATGAATTGGTTTCTTCTCTGCTGCCTAATCTTTCCTTATAAGCAGAGGCCTTCTCTATCCTTAAAAAAAAAGTTTCCCTCAAGCTTTTCTCTTATTGTCCTCTCCCTTCCTTAGACAAACTCCTAGAAAAGATTGTCTGCATTCTACTTCTGCTTCAAATTTCTACTTTTCACAGTGCTCAGCACACATTCCTTTCCACACTGAGTAATCCAGACATACTGGCCTACTTGTTATTCCTCACAGAATGCTCCATCTCCTAACTCTCTGCCTTTGTACTGCCAGCCCCTGTGGCTGGAATGCTCTCCTTCCTCACCTGCCTCTCAGTTTTTCTAGCTTTCTTCAAGATTGAGTTTAAATTTAACCTTATACAGGAGACTTTTCCTTCTAAGATTACCTCCCATTTACTCCATTTAAGGCCCATTTTTTCCCTTTGTTGGGAATGGTGTTCTCCCTTTTCCTCCCCCGTTGCCAGCCCCTCTCTCTCTCTGTCTCTCCCCCCCCTTTCTCTTTCTCTCTCTTTCTCTCTCTCTCTCTCTCTCTCTCTCTCTCTCTCTCTCTCTCACACACACACACACACACACACACACACACACACACACACACACACACTATTTGTACCACTTACACACTTATTTATTTTATATTATGGTTATTGCTAATTTGTCACATCTCCCCTACAAGAAAAAAATATTTGAAAGCACCTTTTTTTTTTCTGTAATGGTTAGCAGAGTGCTTGTTTTTTTAATAAATGCTTCCTGAATACTTGAAATCACAAATAATAAAAGAAATGTAATTTTTAGAAAAGCTTTGCACCCAGAAAATTGGCAGACGTTACAAAAAATAACTTGTTAAGGTTGGAGGGGTGTTAAGGAGACAGGCATGCTACGCTATCAGTCCAACTACAAACTGATCCAGTAGTTACAGAAAATAATTTTAGAATTATGTGAGAAAAATGACTAAACTATTTATGTGTCTGGCACACGGTAAGTACTTAATAAATTCTTGTTTACTTCCTTCCTGTATCTGCCTTCCTATGTGTGACCCTGAATGAGTCACTTTAACCTCTGTGCCTCATTTTCCCCAACTTTAAATGGGCATAATAACAGCACCTACCTCTCAGGGTTGTTGTGAGGATCCAGTGAGATAATGATTGTAAAGCACTTAGTACAGTGCCTAGGGTGTAGTAGGTGGTATATAAATGCTTATTCCCTTCTCTTTCCTACTTCCCCGTATGTACTCCCCTGTTGCATGTATATGCCAAGAAAGTTTAAAAAAAAAAACCCAGAAGATTCAATACATACCAAAATGACTCTTGGTGTTACATTTTGTATAAAATGTAAAAAGGCAAAAATCTACAAACAAAGTGGGTGTTGGGCCGGAAAAAAGTTTATGTGAATAAAATTAAGTATTATTGTGCAGTAAGAAATAACAAATATGAAGAATTCAGAAAAACATTAGGTTTCCATGAACTGATGCAAAGACGCAAATAATAAGCAGAACTAGATGAATAGTGTGTATGATGACAAAAAAAAGAAATGGAAGGAATATTACAAGACAGTCAAAATCTTGAGTAATTTTCACAGTCTATCTTGGTTTCAAAGTACATATATATATGTATATGTCACCATAGACTTCCCCAGTATCCCTTCACATATTCCTTCCAGAAAAACATCCTATATAACAAATAATATTTTTAGGACAAATAAAGAGGAAAAAAATCTGCATAACCGATTAGTTCATCCAAAAAAAGCCTAGAAATATGTGTATTGTGTTGTACTTGTGGACCTCCCACCTCTGCAAAGGTGTGGAAATGTCTTCTCATATGTCTTCTTTCAGGCCATGCTTGGTCTTTATAATTTTGCAACATACACTTTTGATTTTGTGTGTGGGTGCATCTGTGCATGATTCCTTAACATTTACATTGTCATAGTCATTGTGTATCATTGTTTTCTCAGCTCTGCTTATTTCTCATCACTTCAGGTAGATCTTTGCATCCTTCTTTTTATTCATCACATCATTTCTTAGAACACAGTAGTAGTCCTTAATTGATGGGCATATACTTTGTTTCCAGTTTTTTGCTATCCCAAAAAGTGCTGCTATAAATATTTTAATGAATATAGGGGCTTTCTTATCAGTGGCCTCCTTGGAAGTATAAGCCTGGAAATGGAATATCTGAGTTAAAGAGTATATACATTTGGGGCAGCTAGGTAGTTCAGTGGATAGAACACTGGCCCTAGATTCAGGAGGACCTGAGTTCAAATCCGGCCTCAGACACGTAACACTTAACTAGCTGTGTGACTCTGGGCACGTCAGTTAATCCCCATTGCCTCACCAAAAAAACCAACCAAACAAACCAACCAACCACAAATAAGAAGAGTGTGTACATTTTAGTCACTTTATTTGCTTTCCAAATTCCAAATATTCAAATTGCTTTCCAGAATGGTTGTGCTAATTCATAATTCTACCAGCGATGCACCATTGTGCCTATTGTCTCTTCCTATCCTTTGTCATCTTTGCCAATTTGTAGGGTATGAAGTAAAACTTCAAAGTTTTAATTTTAATTCTCATTATTAATGATTTGGACCATTCTTTTCTGTGGTTGTTAATACATTGTAGTTCTTTTGAGAACCATTCCTATCTTTTGACCACTTAAATATTGGGGAATGACTTTTGGTCTTAGTTTCCTAGGATTTAGTAGGTAAAGCATAGTTAAATTGGAACAGATTGGTAGAGACAGTAGGTTGTAGGCAGTTGGTGAAACAATTTTTCACATATTTGAATTTCTATAGACAGAAGCAGAGCCCCCTGTTTTGTAATGTTAAATCCAAGAATTATATTAAGGTAGTAAACTAAGTCACTTTAATTTTTATACAAACTTAATTATCAGCAAACACAAACATTTCATTATACAATAAACAAGAATGAGAATTGTAGAAACTGAACTTTGCTTCCATAGTTTTTTTAAGAATCTGTATTAAATTTTCCAACATAGTAATAAAATTGCCCTATTTATATCCTTTTCTGACCTGCTATGTATGTTAATTTCTGTGTATTTATTGTACTTTTACAATATTTTGTTAATGCTGTTTTCTTTATTTTTTTTTTTACCACTACCTTCTAACCTCCCCCAACCTTCCTTTGTAACAAATTTTCATAGTGTAGCAAAACAAATCAGCATATTGGTAACTGAAAATTAGCTTCAGAAAATGTGTCTCATTCTGTGCTTCTGTCGTATCAGTTTTCTATAAAGGGGTAGAAAAGATGCTGCCATCGCTGTTCTCCTGGTTCTACTCTTTTCACTATGTATCAGTTACTTTGAATCTTCCCAGGTTTCTCTGAATCTGTATTATTATTTCACAGGGAGTTATTTCAGTGGTATAGAGAACCCCTTGGTGTGAAAATTCCCTTTGCCAGTGAAAGTCAGTGTCTTCTCTGCTAACTTAGAGTCTTTCCTGGAGTTCCCTAGAGTAGAGGTTAAATGACTTACCCCTGGATACATATCCAGTGTATGTCAGAGTCAACACCTGACCATATCTTCCTGAAGTGAACGCCAGACCTCTGTCCACCACACCTTGTGGGTTCCTTGTCATTTCTTACACCATAGTAATGTTCTACCACATTATTCTATTATCTTTTGTCCAGCCATTCCCCAATCGATGGGCATTCATTTTGTTTCTGGTTATTTGCTAAAACAAAAAGTGTTGCATTAAATATTTTTGCACATATGGGTCCTTTCTCTGTCTTTGACCTTTTTTTACTCACTCCTAGTGGTATCACTAGTTGAGAAGGTGTATGTAGACACTGAGATGCAGAGAGCTCCAGTAACTTGTTGATGCTTGCACAGCGAATGTGTCAGGCAGAGTTTAGACCCATCTCTTGGCTCCATGTCCAGAACTTTAACTACCATGCCCCACTCCTTAAATTATCAGCAAATTAATTTTGCTTTTGAAATTATTGTGTTTTGTTTTACCTGGGGGCAAAGAAGCATTTTTAAACCAGCTATGTGCACAGTATTAAGCTCCAAGATAACATAGTCCATTTTCAAATGATTGTTATCACCAGCAGAAATTTATTTTATCTTTTATTCTTACTTTCTGTTTCTATGTATCTGTCACCCATGAATAATTTCTAGTTTTCTATGTCTATAGAAACCTAGTTTCTTTTTTAAAATTTCTAATTTTCTTAGAACGTTTCATGGAATTGGTTATTTCCTACAGGTAATTTGCAGTCTTCTTTAAAGGCATCTAAAATACCAGAACACTTAAAGGAGGATAGTTCTGAAGCTTCAAGTCAGGAGGAAGGTGGGTAAAGAAAAAGAAGCTTGTCTTATTCATTGGCAGAAATGTTTTGGAACGACAAACATAAATTTAATGCCTCTGGTTCAAAAGATTGATTGCCAAATGTTGAAAATTTGAGAGCTTATAAAGGAAATTAGTTTGAGCATTGAATTTAGGTTAGCAGAGGAGGATATGAAGAAAAGCAGAAAAAAGCCATAATAGTTAACATTTATATAGGGCTTCAGGGTTTGCAGTGTGTTTTTCATGTTCTCTTATTTGAGCGTTTAAACAACCATAATTAAGAACTATGTGTAGTAGTGTCCCTATTTTACATAGGAAGAAACTGAGGTTGAGTTTGTGGTTTGTCAGTTGTCACCTATGTGTCAAAGGCAAGATTTGAACACAAATCTTTTCTTGACTGGCCCTTTTTCCACAATACCATTTTGCCTCTAGAAATCTTCATTTGCTTTCTCATGACATCTTCCTTTTACTGTTTTTTAGTTGGGTTTAGAGTACATGAATGCTAATTTTTCCCAGAAATTTTAAACTTAGGAATGTCCAGTGTTATTATATTGAGCATAATAGAGCATCATACTTAGAAAATGGGGTTGCCCTGTCCTCTTCACCATCTAACTGGTATAATCTTTATCTCTTCTTCCTGTCATCGGTCATTGAAGGAGCATTTAGTGTCTTAGGTTACTGATGAGTTTTTGGTTTTTTTTTCCTTAGATGTTTTACAACACACAACAATTCACAAGAAACATACTGGAAAGGGTCCTGTAATGAAGTAAGTACTTAAATTTTTTAAAATATGGTTTTTCCATGTACTTTTAATCAGTATTCCAGTGATTTTAAGTGTGTCAGTTTAATCATTATTAATAATAGTATTTTGTTTGGAGCAAAAATATTTCTGTTCCATTAATAAATATAATTTAGGTATGTTCTTCTTTACTAAGACTGTGACACTCTTTCCATCTCATTTTCTGAATAATGACAACATGATGCCTGATTTTTTTTTTCAGTAATAGTTAAACTTGTGGCAAAATGGCTTCTAAATTTAAATCCATGCCTTCTCTGCATAGCCGTTTTCTTAATTTTGTGGTAATTGAGAAACAGGGTTTTCTGTTACTTTCTAACCTTGTTTGATGATTCAGAAGCCTAAATATTAGTTATTTATGTTGTTATTTATGTTGAATCATGCAATCTTTAGAGCTGGCTAAGATCCAGAACACTTCTTTTTCAAATAAAAAAAACAAGCATAGCAGGTAATTGACTAAGACAAGGGTATAGACTTCAGCCTTGGGGTCACATGTGGCCCTCGAGGTCCTCAGGTGTGGCCTTTTCACTGAGTCTAAGTTTTACAGAACAAATCCTTTTATTAAGGGGATTCCCCACCACTGATCTAAGATTATCTAGTTAGTGGCCAAAGACCTTAGGTGTCTCATGGCTCCAAGTTCAGTATTCTGTTCATTAAGAATTGATTATGATATTCAAATCCAGCCATAAATTGGGCAGTTTATTTTCTCTAGGAGACTATGTTCTTTAAAATCTCAATTGCCAAATTTTCTAATGTGTGGTTTCAATTCTGTTGATAAGGACACTGTTAACAGTCTCAGAGTCTAAGAACTAGGAAGGGGTTTGACAAACATGCTTTGAATGTAGAGAAAATTTAAATAAAACAGCTTTATACTTGTAGGTGAGAATGATGAAAAACTGTAGTAGATAAAGAGCTGGCTGTGGACTCAGGAGCCCTAGGTTTGAGTCATACCTGTTGCATATACTGGCTAGAGAATCTCTTTGTGTCCCAGTTAACTTTACAAGACATTAAGTTGTGAAACAATTGCAGAGCTACAGAAACAGCAAGGAGCTTATTTAGAGGGTGCTCCCAGTTGAATCATTGGTCCTGATCAACAGAACATTAGAATTAGATGTTCTGAAAAACACAACATTTATTCATTTATGTAGTCCTCTAGATTACTTTAGCACTGGTACGCTTTAAAAGGGTAAAAATTCAGAGAAGTATAAGTTATCAAATGGGACCGTGACTTAATTTCATTGAGTTCTCTTTTTACCTTATGGTTTTCAGGTATATCTATTAAGGTGAGTATAAGTGAAATCCGCTGATTTCTCCTTGCCATTTATGGGAAAAGTCTCTATTATCTTTATATCTATTATTTTTCTTCCCTTCCCATTCCCATCACCCCCATTTCATTACTTACATGTATTGTCATCATTGTTGGTCTTGGGTTTTGCAACAGAACTTTTTATAGAACTGAGTCTGTTTGGGAGATAGAGAATATAACACATATTATTTATGGTCCATTCATGAATAGCCAGTAATTGATTTCATGACCCTACTTTATCTCTTCCTTATTCCCCTTTTTCAGCCCATACTTCCTTTTGGAGACAGATGATAATATAGGGTAATTAATATCTACTTTACACTTGTTCAGACTTCTACCTTTTTTTCATGTGTACAAAAAGAAAATCTTTATATCATAATTTAAGTATAATTTCCATTAAAAGAAACCTTTAGAATGTCCATTTTCTCCTCAAGCAATCGTAGTTTGTGAAAAGCAAGTATAGTAATGTCTTGTTTATCTAGTTTTCTTAGAAAATGAACTTTCCACATGAATGAAGATTACTCTTTGAGTAACTTTTTTTGGTCAACCATTTTTGATAAAAATTTTTCTAAAATACATTACATGCTTCTCTGCACTATTCAAGTGAGATGTTAGTATAATCCTGAAAAGGCTAATCTTACATGACCTTTGTAACTATCAAGGTGGAATAGACAAGCTTTTAAAAATTTTGAACTGAAAATCTTGTGGAAGTAAACGTTGAAAACTAAAAATAAATAAAATTTTTAAAAAGTTCAGCTCCATCTCTGGAGGCAAATCATCTCACAATAGCTGGAATTGTTAAGAAGTTTTTCCTTATCAAGCAGGAGTCTAATACACTGTTCCTAGTTCTGTCCTTTGGAGTGAAACAAAATCAGCATTGCCTTTCACATGCTATCCCTAAAAGTGATTCAAGACAACTGTTCGGTTCCCGTTGTCTGTTCATTCCAGATTTAAAATGTTGTAACTGATCTCCATGGAATGGTTTTGAGTCCCCTCACTTTCCTGGCTGCTTTCTAGAAATATTCTAGTTTGTCTTTGTGTTTCCAAAAATGTGGCACCTAGAACTGAACACACGTTTAGAAAAGGTTCGAAGTACAGCATTACTGAGACTGCTCGTATTCTAAACAAAATTCTTTTTTTATTTTTTAAAATTTTAGTATACTGCTTGGTGCTTTTTTCAAAAATAAATAACCTTCATTTCTGAATATCGCCTTGCCCCCACCATTCCCCAGTAAACTATCCCATGTAGAAAAAAAAATCTCAGAATTTGAGATTTGGAAGTGACGACTTCAGTGGCACTCTATCTAGTTCTGACATTTTGAAGGAATCACCATTTCACCTTTGGTCATATAGCCTTGGCTGAAAACTTGGGGAAGGCGAACTGGCCACATTCTCAATTAGGCCAGTTTACTTGTGGCAGCTTTAATTGTCACAAAGTTTTTTTGTTTTGTTTTGTTTTTTTTCTTCCACCCTCCACATCCAGCCTAAATTGGCCCCTTTGGCACTTCTACCCATTGTTCCTGTTTCTGCTTTCTAGGGTCAATCATAGTTTAATACCTCTAAGGCAGCCTACAGATAATTGAAGGCTGCTGTAATGGTCCCCAGGCTAAACAATCTCAATTCCTTGAGCTGATCATCATGTGACATGGACTCAAAATTTTTCATTGTCCTGGTTGTCCTCCTGGATACTCTTTTAGCTTACTAGTATCCTTTGTAAATTGTAGTATCCAGAACTGAACATAGAAGTTCAAGTTGGGCTTGATAAGAACAGAATACAGGGTAATTATCATCTCCTTCTTCCTAGAATCTGCCTCTTTTCATGCATCCCAAGATCACATTAGTGTTTTTGGCTTCAAATCACAGGGCAGATTGATTCATCTTGCAGTCCACCAAAATCCTCAGTTGTTTTTTGTTTTTTAATTTAGATATGCTGTTTAACTGTTTTCTCCCTTATTTTATGCCTTTGAAGTTGATGGGGGTGGGGGATCTTGATCTGAGACTATATTTATCTTGTTGAATTACATTTTGCTAGGTTAGGGACAGCTAGGTGGCATAGTGGATAGAATACCAGCCCTGAAGTCAGGAGGACCTGAGTTCAAATCCGGCCTCAGACCAAACACTTGACACTTACTATCTGTGTGTGACCCTGGGCAAGTCACTTAACCCCAATTGCCTGGGGGGAAAAAAAACAAACGAACATTTTGCTAGGTTAAGCCTAAAATGCTGTGGCCTAGTGGTGTCAAACTCAAATAGAAATGAGGCCCACTAATCCTTACCTAAGGATCCTTGTGGGCCACATAATGACTGAGTTTTAAAATGTAATATTATGTATGTTTTATTGTATTTTCATTTTATTAAAAATTTCCTAATTATATTTTAATCTGGTTCAGGCAGTACTCAGGGGTTGTGGCCCCATGGGTCATATGTTTGACACCTCTACTCTAACCTGTCAAGATCCTTATGGATCTAGACTATCTACATGTTGGCTGTTTCTCCCAGCTTTGTGTCATTTGTATATTTAATGAGCTTGCCATCTAGGGCTTTATCCAAATTATTGCTAAAATTGTTTTTGTTAACAGAACAGGGCCAATCACATGTTCCTTTGTGACTCCATAGACCATAGCACACCAGGCCCTTCTGTCCTCCACTATCTCCCGAAATCTGTCTAAGCTGGGACGTTGAATGGATTTTCCTTGGATTTGAACAGATATAATTCTGTCACTTTTTAGTTTATACTGCTTTTCTCAACCTTTTATTGACTTTGAGGGCTACTACATTTTTTCTGAGTAGTTGTCCATTGATTAAGGAATGGCTGAACAAATTGTGGTGTGTGAATGTAATAGAATGTTATTGCATGATTATTAAATCATCGAGCATATCCTTCAAAAATGAATACAAATATTGGGTGCATTAATAAAAGATCCCCCTCTTGGTACCCTGCCACATCATGGCAGAGGGGCTTATGTAGCTCAATGAAACTGTGATTTGTGCTGTGCAAGGTTACCCAAGACAAAGAGGTCATAGTGGAGAATTCTAACCAAAGGTGATCCATTGGAGAAGGAAGTGGCAAATCAGTCCAAATATCTTTGCCAAGAAAATCCCATGGATATTATAAAAATGAGAAGAGATGGGACACCAGAAGATGAGCCCTTCAGGTCAGAAGGTGTCCAGTGTGTTCCCAGGGAAGAACAGAGGACAACTGCAAGGAGCTCCAGAAAGAAGGAAGTGACTGGGTCAAAGCCGAAAGGAAGCTCAGCTGTGGATGTATCTGGTGATGAAAGGAAAATCCAATGCTGTAAAGATCAATATTGCACAGGAATCTGGAATATAAGAACTGTGAACAAGGTCAGCTGGATATGATCAAACGGAAGATGGAAAGATGAAACTGACATATTGGGTGTCAGTGAACTTAAATAAAGAGGAATGGGTGAATTTAATTCAGGTGCTCATTGCACATACTACTGTGGGTGAGAATCCCTTAGAAGAAATGTAGTAGCCCTTGCAGTCAATAAAAGGTTGAGATATCCCATAGGCATGTCAGACTCTGCATATGTGAGGTGAACAAAAAGTAGTAAAGTATGACATCAAGTCTTTAAACCTGGATGACTAAAACAATAGTGATATCCTTGGCAGTAATAGGGAAATTCAGAACCAGGATGGGTTT